CCAGTAACTCCAGTTATGATCATTCTTTTTGTTCTAAATTATCTCTCCAAATAAAATTCATCTCATAGAAAATATTCATAAAGTTTTGTTGTTATTGTTTTGCTGGAGCACGAAGAAAATCAGTGAAATGAATGTTCTTGTCCTTTGCGATTATCTCATTCATTCATTCATTTAATTATTTGAATTCTTGAAGCAGGGTCTCACTTTAGTTCAGACTCGGCTTCTACTCACCATGTAGCCTAGGTGAGCCTTGAACTCCCAGTGATCCTGCCTCTGCCTCCTGAGTGCTGGGGTTACAGGTGTGTGTCACCACACCCAACATTTATTCTTTTTATTAGCTTCTCAGATTTTTGGTAGTAAATGTTTTGTGGATCACTCGCCTTTTTGGACTCAAGAGCATTTGTTTCTTTTCATGTGGCAGGATTTAACTGTAATAATGAAAGAACAGCAGCAGTCACTGCCATCAGAGAAGACTCTACATAGCTTATCAGGCGCCACGCCTTAGATGCTTTACTAAGGCCACTCATTTTGTTCTTTCAAACTCTGTGAAATAAACAGAATTGTAGCAATATTTTATATTTTCAGACTCTAGGGCTCCAATAATGTAATAAAAAGGCCAAAAAGACCATTATTCCACACCGTCACTCAGGGCTGAATCTACCCCCATGGTCTACCCAGTGACCTCATTTTGATATGACAAGCAGCTTTCTGAAAAGTGATACAAAAATTAGATTAATCATGGTTGAAATCCTTTGGCTACCCACATTAAAGAAACTAGCAGTCCATCCAACATAGCACCATTGTATAGTTAGTAAAGGGCCATACTGATGTCTAGAAGGTGTGTTCATAGTATAGGAATAGTGTATTTGCTTAAATCAGCTTTCATACTTAATGTGAGATTGAGGAAATATCAGTGGTTCCTATTTGTAAATATAATTTTTGTGAGTGACTCATTCATTCAGGATACTATTAAGAGACTGATGGACATTATAAAGAATTTGAGAAACCTTTCTCTTATAAAACCCAGCATACTTTATATGCATAGCAGATATTTTCACTCTATGATTACCGACATTTCTACTTGCAGATTTCGTCTTTTATGTGAAGAATGCATGTTCAAATTTAGAACCAGGAAAATCCAGAAATATTTGTTGTTTCCAGTTTGTAGTTGTAAGAATAATGTCAGTTATGAAAATTATCTTTACTTATGTATGCCTCAAAGGTTTGGGCAAATCTGATATTTAAACTGTGTTAAAAGTATGTAAAAGATACTGTAGATACATTCATAGCAAATGAGAGAAAAATCCACTATTCCAAGTGGTTTCCAAGTACTCATGTCCACCCCTTTTTCTTCTTTGGAAACTCATGTCTCCTACCCAAAATATCTATCATGTGAATGAATAGGCCTTGGTTTCCCTTTTATACTGAATGATAAATACTGGATTTAGAAAATGAATCACTACTTTTTATTGTTAATTGTGATACCTGCTAATGAGTTGTTACTTGAAAAATATGGCTTTTTTTCTAAAACTCACTTTTGCATTCATAAAATATTGATGATGAAACCATTCTTTCTATTTCAAAGTGTTCATGATGCACTGCATACAATATCTGTTAGTAAAGTACTATAACCACATAATTTGGAAAAATTTCTATACCCATGTATTTATTCTTCATGATACAGCAATACATATAATCTGATGATGAGTATTTTTTAATGCATTGTTGTTTTAGCTGTACATATTTGTGGGCTATTGTGCATAATTTGATGCATTTATGTACAATGGTAATGATTCCATCTCCTTAAAGATTTTATGAGTTTATATTAATAGGTAGTAGGTGTACATATTATGAAGTACAGTGTCATATTTCAATACTGTATATAATATGTGCTAATCAAATTATTTCTATCTCTTATCTTTACTTGCAGTCTTTCTGATCCTCCTAGATATTCATAAAATAATAGTTTATTATGTGTACTGCAGAAGTAAGCACACAAAATAATAGTTTATGAAGAATTATAGTCACATCTTTATTCTATAGAAACTTTGAAATTTTCATTTGTATCTAGTAATGCCTTTGTATATGCAATCAAATTTTCTTCTATTGCTCATTTCTGTCACCTTCAAATACTTCAATAGTCACTGTTCTGGTTTTGGATCGACTCTTGCTTTTTAAACATACAAAAGGAAAACATACAGTCTTAGTCTTTCTGTACCTAGCTTAGTTCATTTAACATATTCTCGAGTTCTGTCCATTAAGCTGCAAATGATGGTAAATTACTACTTTTATGGCTGAATAATATTCCATTTTGTAACAGAATACCACATTTGCTTCATTCTTTCATTGGCAAGCATCTATCTAATATGAATATTACATCAATAAACGTGAAATGCATGTATTTTTGATATGCTGCTATTTCCTTTGGACATGTGTCACAGGTGAGCTAGCTAGAATATATGGTAGATCTATTTTTACTTTTTGAAGGCACCCCCATTGTATTCTTTCTAATGGCTGTTCTAATTAGCCTTTCTATCAAAAGGGTAACTCAAGTATCTCTTCTCCACATACTCATCAGCCTTGTGTGCATACGTGTGTATGTGTGTGTGTTTTTCAGTTGCAGTTCTCACTAGGATGACACTGCATTTCACTGTTTTTATATTTGTATTTCTTTGCTGCCTAGTAAAATTAAATATTCCTTTAAAATTTTGTTGTCCATTTAAATTTCTTCTTTTCAGAAATATTGTTTGGTATCGTTTGCACAATAAATAATTGGAACTTTTGTTGTTCAGTTTTTTGAGCTTTCTTTATTCTTGATATGATTTTTGTCAGACAGTTTGCAAACTTTTTTCACTTTCTATAGTTATTTCTTCACTCTTTTGAATATTTCTTTTGCTGTACAGAATGTTCCTAGTCAGATGTAATCCCATTTATCAGTTTTTGCTTGTATTTCTTAAACTTTTGGAATATTATCAAAAAAAAATGAATTCCCTGTGCTGTTGTATTCAAATGTTTCTCCAATGTTTTCTTCTAGTATTTTCCGTAGTATCAGATTTTACATTTAGGTCTTTAATCCTTGGAGAAGATTTACTTTCAGAAAGCAACATGCTGGGCTTAACAATCTTAGTTTGGTAGGGTAAGTTATGTGATACATGACATGTCGGAATACTAGCTAATATATTTTATTGTATTAGTGTATCACACTCAGACCTTCCCCTCTCATGCATTATAATTTAACCTTCTAGAACCACTGTAATTCTAAAAGAATATCCAATCTCACTGTGTAATGAGGTTCACATAAGGTGCTTTCTCTTTGTTGGAATAACATGGACAAGACACTATAATTATGATTTCAACCTTTTTTCATTCACTTTTTCCACAGAAACTTATATTTTAAGTCTAAAACTAAACCCACTAAACACCCTATCTTCACTCTCTCTCTCTCTCTCTCAACCACTCGTAGTACACATTTTAGTTATTAGTATTGAATAAAATTATGTTAACCAACTATAAATGGCTCCTAAGATCTGTAATGGTTCAAAATTATTTGACTCCTAAATCATAAATTGACAGGCAGATTTTTTTCCACCAACTGTTCTCTAAAATTCTTGAGAATTCTGACCTCTCCAACATCAAAAGATAACTCCTGATATGTCTCCTGCAAGCCATAGGTAAAGAAAGACAACAGGAAGGGTTAACACCTTGCAGTTTTCTTAGACCCGATCTCAAATAGCGCGTACAACTTACGTTCAAGCACGCTAATCTTTAGGGTACCTTGCAAATCTAGTTTCACACCATATGAAGAAATTGTTGGTTTAAGGATAGATTAGCCAGTGTCTACTGCATCATACTAAAAGTGCACAGGGTCAAGGGTTTAGCTCAGTGTTGCAAGCACCTGCCTGTCATGTGCAAGGTCATCAGTTCAATCACTAGTACCAAAAATAAATAAATAAAATAAACATATAAGTACACATAGGTCCAAAAACCGCCATTCATGCACTTTGGAATATTTTTTTTAAAGAAAATGTGATTTTCTCTGGTAAAAAAAAAATAGATCTTACTTTACATATATCCAAAAATAAAACAAAACTCAATGACAAAATTAAAATATACACATAATTGCACTGATTGGTAAGAGATATGTAGGATTAGAAAACTTAAGAAAAAGTTGAGTGGAACAGGAATTCCTTTTTCATGCAGTGAAATTAATATTTAAGGCCAATAAAGATACAACTATGTTGAGAATAATATGCATCCTTAAATACTTTAATAGTTCTCATACTTAGTTATATCAACCATGTCAGTGACTATATGTTCTCTTAATGTGAACTGTAAATCTTACCCTTATCACTGCAATTCATTTGTTTGTAATTTGAGAAAGGTTTTATTGGTAAAAGTGCTGAACATGTATAAACGTGGCTTGAAAACCCATTTCTCCCTTTCTTTCTACAAAGTGGCTTTTCTACCTTTCAGTAACTGCACGTAAAGTAACCACATGAGCCCCAGCTCCAGACAGACACAGGAAAACTTGGTGCTGCATTTTTTTTTTCTATAACAAAAGAAAATGTGAAAGTGCATCTGTTGGCAAAACCAACAAAGACCAATTAGTGGAATAATCGTACTATGATTCCTGTTATTAGCCAGATGTTTACAAAATGCATCTTCCATCTGGATTCCGGATGTTTCTTACCTTTTAATAGCTGTTTAGCTGTCCTGAGTTTTGAACTCTAAGTCATAAAGTGTCAAGAGGAGGTTTTAGTTTACAGGCTTCATGGAGAATGGCATAGGCTTGAACTCCCAAAACCTTGACATTGTTTTATATGTTCTTCTCATTCATTTATTTCCTATATGAAGCCTCAGAGGTCTTGAATTGTGTCCCAGAGTCATCATTAAATAAGTTAACAAGTGTTTGGTTTTTCATTACTACTGTACGGCAAGAGAAGACGGGGCTGCAAGTATGCATTTTGGAATAATTCCTTTCTGCAACTTTGGTTTCCTAGGGAACGAGCACTGAATACAACCCAGCCTGGGTCCCTTCAGTTAACTGTGGGAAACCTGAAACCAGAAGCCATGTACACCTTCCGAGTTGTTGCCTACAACGAGTGGGGACCAGGAGAGAGTTCTCAACCCATCAAGGTGGCCACTCAGCCTGAGTGTGAGTATGATGAGGGCAGGGCAGTACAGAATTTAGACAGTGCTTGTTTTCATCTGCAAAATCCTTAAATATTTTTGTGGAACTTTTTGAAATGACAAAATGGAAGAAAAAGGTTTGAACTCAGATATTTAAAGTGAAAAGTTTGAGAAGTGAGATAACTTTATAATAAAACACCCTCTTCACTTAGATCTTGTCTGCATAATGTCGTGTCATGGAGTGCAAAGGCCTAGTCCATCTATTACAGCTTTATAGAATCATTTCCTCTGAAGGTAACTTACCTGCCCATGTCTCATCATGACCACTGGGCTTCAGTTTTCTCTATAGATTTCTCAAAGTTGCTAAGTTTGTCTATGCAAAGTGTATCATAAAAGGTAAAAGAACAAAGTTATAGAATATCTAAATCCAGGGATTTATTAAATAACTTAATCATGCGCTGAATGTACTCAAGAGGATTCTAAGACAAACTAAAAAATCTAGAAATGCAGGCAATAAACTGTCATTTAGAACTCTTTATTTTATAATATGAGTCACTGTATTAACTTGTTGATCAGAGTGAGGCAAAATATAATTCAATTATTTCCACTTTTAAAAGACATTTCAAAATTGTTTCTTTGAAAATAGATGCGCACCTTGTCAAATCTGATTTTTTTCTTACAAAATCTAATGTTACTGGAAACAATGAATTAGTGATATGTAGTTTCCAATCTATTAATAAAATTATAATCTAAAATTTAAAATCAATGAATGAGTACTTGTAACTAGCTGCCTTAGACACTTAATTTATGTCTTTTTATTTTTAAATAATGCCACTTTTATTCATGTTTTTATTATATAAAACTGTATTTTACTTAAAAAGAATTGGAAGGTGGTGAAGTACACATTTGAAATATTTCCACTGAAAAATGAGAGAACATAATCTTTATACTGAGTCACATTTTGGGTGACTGAAATCTGCATGTCAATGAATGGCAGAGTCTGAGTGGTGATTTATCCTTACCAAATTCCTCCTCCTCTCTTCTTGGTCAACTTCAGAAAGACAGTATTGGATTAGTCATCTGTGAACCGAGGAAGGGCTAAACTGAAATTCATGCCTGTGTTTGCCTCACAGAAAGAGCATCTGTGATAGTAATTTCAAAAACATAAAATACATAGATTTTAAATAGGCATTAAGGAAGGCAGGCTCCCAGAAAACACTAGATAAGCAATTTTCAGGATGATCTAAAAAATTAAAAAAATATATTTTTTTGAAAATTTTTAAGAAACTGTAAGAAAACTGTAAAAGAATATTAGTCACTCTCCACACAAAGTCCTTCTGAGCCTGACAGCTTGTGCAATTTCACAGGTTGCTTGGAGCTGACTGCTGTCAGGTTTGTGTTCGTAAGAATACTCGTTGCTATGTGAATTTAAATCACTAAATAATGCAATTCAGCTTCACATCATCTGTATTAACATCAAATTTTAGTCATTAACTTCCTCATTGATTTGATCTTTATAATTCATATATATGTGTGTATGTGTATAGTCAATCACTTTTATGACTAGTATTTTAATAAAGCTTAGCATAAAGAAGTTATATATGTATATATGTATACATGTACAGTATATTTATGTATTATATGTATAGTGAAGTATGATTAAAAATATGATGTATTTAAATAAAAAAGCTTCTCACCCTTAAAGATATATTGTCATTAGCTACCTCAAAATATTCTCCGTTGATTCAAAGATGCTTCTGCTATCATTCTTGTTACTTTCTAGAGCAGTGTTAAAAGTTCCCTTTCATGAGTGTCCTGGTTGTAAGTCTTAGTTGTCTCAGTGTTCTGAATGGTTGCATAACACTGATCTTTCATGACCGTTTTTGACTCTGGGGAAGAGCCATAAGTCACAGGGTGGCGGATCCAGTGATTAGAAGGATGAGGATGCACCATAATGTTGTGGTGAACTGTCTGTTGCATGGTACTCAGCAACTACATTTACCAGTTGTGTATCAGACTTCATAAAGATATGAAAGGACTTTCAAAACTGTTACACAGTGCTTACTTCAGCACGCATATACAGAACTGTTTCACAGTGGTAAGAATAATAGAATGTGTGTTCAAACTGAAGTTTGGGAGTGGCATTTTGAGGCTGATTAATGCTAAGATGCTTTTGCTATACAAATTTTTAAATTTAAATATTTACTATATTGTTTGGTAATTGTTGGCCATACACACACAAAATGTAAGTTGACATTGTGTCAACTTGAGAAGTTTAGAAGTTTAAGTGTCAGAGCAGGGAGCCATGTCCGTCCTTTGTAAATATCCTGAGCACATGCAAGAGGAAGACACTGTAATGGTGTGAGTGGGTAGTCTGAATACAATAAAAGGGAGGAAGAGAGGCTTTTTCTCTCCCTTCTTTTTACTCTCACTGTTTGCTGTCTTTTGCCTTCTTGAACTGTTGTCCCTGTGCCATACCACCCTGCCTTGGAGCCAGCTGATTATGAGCTGAAACCTCCACAAACTGTGTGCTAAATAAACATTTCTCCCTTAATTTTAAGTGTTGAGTAATTTTTCCCAGCTATGAGAGAAAAGTAACCAAAACAGAAATTGGGCCTGGGAGTGGGGCTGTTGCTGTGACTGTACCAGACCATGTGGCTCAAAGCTTTTGGGAATAGCTTGTGGGAAGAGTTTGAAAACATTCAGAGATGTTGCCTGAAAGAGTAGTGATGAAATGCCTTACGCTGTTTTGTATGAGGGATTCCAGTCAGATCTCAGATGACCAGAAGACTGATAGAAATACTGCTGGTAAAGACAGGATTTGGGAGATTTCTATTAGGAAGGACTGCATTGGGTTCTGGACTCCAGGTAATATGTATTATGGCTTGGCCAAAACTTCATCCATATTTTGTTCATGCCCAGAGTCTGTGTCTAATACTAAGATTAAGGGAAGTGGGCTAAATAAACTGGCAGAAGAAACTTGAAGGCAATCGAATCTTGAGATTGTGACATAGTTCTTATTGGGGCCTTTAGTCAGATTTGTGTTGTGAATCAAGAGAAAAGAACCCAGAAAGATGATTTAAAATGTGAGTTTGTCCAGAAAGTAATCTCCCATCAAGATTTAAACTACAAAGATGGAACTGAGGAGCTCTTGACTACTAAGAAGGAAAAGGAGAATATAAAAGATGGCCTGAGGGTATCACAAGAAGCAAAAGTGTCCACCCTTTGCAGTCTCAAAACAGCAAAAGTGAAAACTTTTGCTTTGAGGAGAAAACCGCAGAATATCATCTTTCAGAATGGCAGTGGGGCATAGAAAATTTTTTTCCTCAGAATTGGATTCCGGGTGCTCAGTGATCCACGTACTTGATCCCATAGCCAAAAAAGAGGAAATCACAAGTACTTCTCCAGGTGGCAGCAGATCTTGGCATCATCCATGAGAGTCTGGATTTTACGTGCATGCAGAATGCAAGAGTTACAGAATTAAGAAGGCTTCCAGTGGATTTCAGATGGCCTGGGAATTTAGGCAGTGTGTCCCTGAGAGGGCAGTGTGTAAAGCTGTAAGTGGGAAGCCAAAGGTGCAGTGGAGACTCCAGAAGTTTGGAAAAGCCATATACTCTAAGAAATGTTACAAGGAAGCAACAAAGCCGACCTAAGAGAAAAGCCATGGGAGATTTAATCACCAACAGTGCTTTAGAGGTGGAGTCACTCAAACCCTTTGTAGCTCACAATTTACCACAGATGGCCTCCACTGGTGCATATGGAACTACAGGACTTAATGTTTACTCTGCTGGATGTTGGACTTGCTTTAGTCCCAACCCTTTGTATCCCTCTGTTTGTAACTTTTGGAATGAAGAAGTTTATCTTGTGTCATTATATGTTGGAAAGGTTTCACTCTGTTTTCCTTTATATATGAGATTTCAGCTAACAGTTTGCCTTGTATCTCAGAGAAGAGCTGGGACTTAGACTTGTCAGGAATGCTGAAAATGATAGGATTTTAGCAGCTCTTGTAGATGGAGTTAATCTTTTTTGCATAAAGCAATGTACATGAGTCTTTATGGTGCTAGGAACAAAATATTATGATTCTAACGTAATATAATGTTGACAGACAATACTTTCTTAAGGGTTGTTAAATATATGTTATAATGTTCAAGTCATGAAATGATAAGAATAAGCAAATCTTTGGTCTGGAGATCTGTTTAAAGCAACGCGTCTAGTTTCCAACTGGACAAGGGATGGATTGTAATGTTAGATAAATTGTGTCAACTTGAGAATAGTAGTTTAACTAAGCAGCACAGCAAGAACCCAGGATGTTACTTTGTAAACATCCTGAACCTGTACAAGAGGAAGACATGGAGATAGTGTGGGCTGGTAATGTACACACAATATAAAGGACAAAAAGAGACCTGTTCTCCCCTCTTGTTCTGGCTTCTTTTGTTGTCTTTTCCAACTTGAAGTGTTGCTCCTGTGCCATGCCACCCTGTTTTGGAGCTAACTGATCATGGACTTAAATCCCCACAAACTGTTTCCTTCATATTTTTGAGTGTCCGGTGTGGGGGATGAGGAGTCACTTTGAAGGCCCTGGCCCCCTCGGGACCTACAGTAAACAATAGTCCCCAGTATGTGAGACAAGAGGCGGGACAAGAATGCCTGTTCTCAGTGGGGATGCCCCCCCCTCTTTGAGCCCACACTGTGTGACTTGGCTTTGTTTACAGAGTCATGAGGAAGTGGCCGACCACCATTGTGACACTAGCAACAAACATAATTAACAACATTCTTGGGCTAATGGAGTTCCTCCTGGGTTAGAGGGGCTAGAAGAACTGATTGTGCTTGTTTGCTTCGCTTAGATAGTTTAGATAAACATTGTAGTCTGTCACATTGTAGCTTGTCACAAAGAATGCTTTTTCACTAGTTAATCGTCTGTGCTCTGTGAATTGATCCGGTTTACTATATAAGAATCCTGGAATAAAGCACAGTGTGCAGTGCAGTGCGGTGTAGTTGCAATTGCTGTGTTTCTGTTTTTTTCCT